GAGCCTGGTTCTGCCGGAGGTTTCTTCCTGTTAAAAGGGAGTTTTTCCTTCTCACTGTCGCCAAAGTGCTTGCTCATAGTTGTCATTTGATTGTTGGGTTTTTCTTGTCTATGTATTATTGTACGGTCTACCTTACAATATAAAGTGCATTGAGGAAACTGTTGTTGTGAGTTGGAGATGCATAAATAGAATTGAATAGAAAAATTTAATAAATGGTGAGTTTGATCCCTGGGAAGGAGTTGATCTCATGATGTCATTCTAGTGATGTCACTTCCTGGGCAGTCAGTGACTCGCATTCCATTGACATTGCATTATCAAGTCGACCTACAATACCTTGTTTTGAACCCTACTAAAGTACCTTGGTACCAGGTACTATTACTTAATCGAAAACACTAAAATCCGAGTAGAGTGAAGTTAAGATTTTAGTTACATATATGTGACAAACTTTCAGAAAATGTAGCAGTTTTAACAAAGTTGAATGATACAACTGCCAAGTCCAGTATGAATACAGCTTCCTGTGTTTGATTTGAGACAACACTAAACTGCCCCTACAGGGAGTAGTAATATAAATGTATCCAAATTGAAAGACTTCTTTTGGCTTTTTATTTGGCTGATTCTTAAAGTTCAGTAATAGTTAAAATAATGTTTAATAATGTGTTTCCTGATCGGAATATTTATGTTAAATCTGAAGACAAGATGCATGTGGTATCTTCACAAAAGCCCCCCTATTCTGTTCATTCCCTGCTCCATATTTTTAGCTTTAAAATCAGCTTTATGCATTTCAAAATGATCCTTCTTTATCTTACCCTGGCCCTTGGTGCTGATGGTTAGTTCAAACATCCTACTTTTGATTGGCGTCCCATGGCCAACAGAAGGTTTGAACATATAACTAAAGAGCAGATGTACCTCTGGTAGACTTTGCTTTGATGACTGGTGTCTTCTGTTCTCACTACAGAGAAGACTGCAGATGGATTTAAATTACTGCAGGTACAACAAACACAACATATTAAAATGATTTTTACTATTGGTTATATTAAAAAGAAAATACATGAGCACTTCTGGTACACATTTCTTGGATGTTTTATGACATACCTT